CAAGATGCAAAAGTTTCCATATTTGGACAGTTGAAAAAGTCAACTGTAACTTGACCAAGGCATAACTTCCACATGGTTTATCATAAAAATTCCATCCAAAGCTCATTTTGAAGAGAAAGACATTTGATACAACTCCTCTTCACACTTCAAGTCCAAGAAATGCTCTCACAAAAAGTTATCAATTTCAACATTATAGGTCATTTTCAAAAGTCAACAAAAAGGGACTTTAAGTCAAAGGCCATAACTTGAGATTGGTAAATCAAAATAACATGGGACAAAATGAATTGGTTAGAGGACTTCAAGACCTTTCCAAAATGTCCAAGAACATGATCAAAGCTTAAAAATTGAGCAAGATATGCCTTGTGGAAGTTGGGAAATTTTTGGGAATTTTGAAAAGTCAACTTTGCTTCAAATGTCTTAAAATTGCTAATGGGCCACATTTTCTTCCAAGATTCATCATTCAAAGGCTATGCACGACTATTTGGCCCAAAGGGGATTTATTTCATCATTTTTATTTATTTATTTGAATTTTTAATTACAATTAATTCATTTAATTAAATAAAATATGGAAAAAATACTAAACCAATGCATTTGAATCTTTTTATGCAGTGTAATCACTCATTGGATACTCAAGATTTCGTGCATACCAAAATTGGAAAGATTGGCCATGATTGGGATCAAAATCACATGAAAAAGATTTGAAAAAATATGCATGAAAATCAAATATCTTATACATCAATGCATTGATCCTTTGGCTCAAGATTTAACCCTAATCCATCACATACATAAGCCAGAAGCTAGACCTAATGAAAAAAACCTCTAAGCTGCGCCCCATCTCAAGAACAAAGTTTGCACTTTTTGTCCAAATTTTCAAAATTGAAAACACGATTCTAAAGCATTTCAAGGCAAGAAAACTATCCCATTGCATTCCTGAGGCTTCAAGGAACGTTTCTGAATCAAAACCATTATCTCTAACGCAAGGAATTGGTAGAACGACCTTGTCCTGTTCATACTTTTTCTCATATTCTTGCATCATGATTCATGCGTTGTTTTCAATTTTTAATGTTTGATTTGTGTTAGTTGATTCATTCTGAAGCTAACCATGTATTTTAATTGAGTTTTTGTGCATCATACCCAGATTCACCATTGAAGCTCGCTAGGGTTTCATAACTTCAAATTTGGGGTTTCTCTTATACAGAAAAATTAGACCCTAAGACCAAGGCTATTGGATTCAGAAGCTTCACGTGAATCGTTTCCATACCTCGCGCCTAATTTATGAACCACGATGGCCTATTCGCTATTTTTTCTGTTCATCATTTAGTGGAGGTTTAAAACCCCCGCAATCTTGTTTTATGTTTTTCAGGCAAAACGCACAAACGGAGAAGATGATGACTTGTCTCCATATGATAGGTTCATTCAAACTTTAGCGCGTTTTTTGAGTTAATATTATTAGCATGTTTTGTTATATATATTATTTATTGTCCACTAATGTTACAAAGAAAGCAAATGGCACGGTTGGTTAGTGCGTTGTCCTCTGAACATTGGGACCTGGGTTCGATTCCCAGGTCCCCTCACTCTCTTAATATATTTTGCTTCTATGTGATTCCATGCAGATTCAATCCAAAAGCCTACCATACAACCTTAGGTCCAAGCGCGCCACATGTCTCAGAGATCCAACCAAGGGCCTTGATCTGAGGAGTACCATGTGCGTCAGTCAACGAATCCACACGTGATTGCCAGAAGTCAACAGGGCCAGGAATCAAATGGGCCTAATTGCTGGCCAGACACCTCCAAATTGGGACAACAAACCCCCATTGTTTGCTTTCTTTCACTCTTTTTATTTTTTCTATTTTTATTTGCTTAATTTAATTTTGATTTAATTCTTCAAATTAATATTTTTATAAAACATAAAAAATAACAAAAAATCAGAAAGTCACAAAAATATAAAAACATATTTTATTTAAATGTTTTCTTGTAAATAAATGATATTAATTAATTTAGTTTTTTAATTCTAGGATAAATTTTAATATTTTATTAATAAACTTAAAAATTGTAGAATTAGGGTTTTAATCACTTTTATATCTTTATCTTTTCTTTTTCACCATATTAATTATTAATTATTTATTTTTGTAAATAAAATTGTATTAAATAATTAGGTTAATTTTAGGTTCAACTTTAACATATTTCTTAATAAATAAAAATAGTTAGAATTAGGGTTAATTAACTTTTTTAATTTCATTTAATTCTCTCATTAAAATCTTTAAATACAAAAAACTCCAAAAAATCTCTTTTATTTTAATTTAATTAATTTGTTAATCGTAATTTAATTTCATTAAAAAGGGTCCAACGCCATCGCTTTCGATTATCAGTTCGTTTCGCGCATTTATTTCCTTTCTTATAATATTCATGTAATTCTCCCGAAGCCATGTAAATTAGACATTTATCTTTTCCGCACTCTTTATTTTATTTCAAATCGGGTCTTGGATTAAATTTGGCGATGTGGACCCGCGCCTTTGTAATAGCGTAGGATTTTTATGTTCCCGCAACTTTTAATTGTTAACTATCGCATGAAAGAATGAATGTCAAAATAAAAGTAACGCGTAGATCACCAATACATGACAAGACAAAATATCTGAAAACGACACACAAATCACACACCACCCCTAGGGTACGCCTCACTGTTGCCTTGCCCCTCGAAAGGTGATCGTCGAGTAGATGACGTCTTAGTAAGTCCTCATGTCCAGGAACCTGGCATGAGGGTAGCTTCTAGGGTGTCTTCCTATTGCTCCGGTGATCACCATGTCCCGAACCTTCGAATTAACCCGAACACCTCTAACGGTGGTGCTACCTACCTCTCAATGGTGGGATGGCACTACTTTAAGGACATTTACACAGACGAATTCCTTAGGGTAGGTAGACGACTCTAGATACTTGCTCTAATTTCAAAACAAATCAAAAATACTTTTCACACCGACACCTTTTCAAAAAAGCTTTCGAAAGCAATTTTTCAAACACTCTTGAGGACCGATACAAGAGTCGAACTGGAATTTTCAAAGAAACTTTTTAAAACCCACAGTTGAAAAGCAAACAAACAATTTTGAAAACACAAGTGAGCAAGTATCTAAGAGCCCATGGATAACCATGGATAGAAAGGGTGCTAACACCTTCCCTTTCTATAAATCTACCTCCCGAACCGAGAGCAATCTCTATAAGGAATTTTTCTGTGCTTTTGTCCTTTTCATTTGGAGAAAATAAAAGACGGTGGCGACTCTTGCTTCCGCGACATTTCGCGAACCAGCGTTAAACAGTCAGTTCCAGATCCACCGATCATAGTTATCATGTGTAAAACATTGATTCCATTCATAAGCTTAGCCTGGTCAGAAACCTTATTTGGTTCGAGATCAGCCTGGATTAAAATCTCAGTGGTCCGTGGCCAGCCTAGTCAAAACCTCAATTTTGTTTGTGAATTCAACCTTGTTCAAAAGCTCACCTTAGATTGAGATAAGCCTGTGTAAAACCTCAATTTAATATGGAGACTAACCGCTTTAAGTTGTTATTTGAAAAGAAGACTGACCGCTTCAATTCGTTTTTTAGAAGGAAGACTAATCACTTCTCTCCTCTGTTCGCTATTTGGTTGGAAATTATTTGGAGACTTCATTTTTCTTTGTATAAAGGGGTTCGAGAGTTCAAACTACTAAAAAAATTTAAGAATTATTGGATACTCTTAAGATCAAATTTTAGGAGAGGATTAAATCACTTCATTTCGACTGAACCTCTATAATTGTAGGTGCTATTTTTCTTACCATAAACTCTTTAATTTCTTATTTATATTTCTGCTGCTAAATGATTAAAACGTTTTCAAAATGATTTTAAACTCTAAAAATAATTGTAAAAGTTTTTCAAACCATTGTTTTTTTGAAACACACAATTTATCCCACCTTGTGTGTGGAGAGTCCCATGTCCAATAACATGTTCAATTTTTGTCTCCGCCACTGAGCGTTGGATAGTCTTGCAGATACCACTCCCCAGTGCATCGCTGAAAGCGAGAAAGATCTGGACAGATCGAAATTGTATCGGAAACAATCATCTTGTCTGGTTTCTTATTTACCATGAAGACATTTTGATCGGGACAGGTCTGGTCTTATGCTAGCAGTCGATTTCCATCACCACTCAACCACATTGCCATTGCAAATAATGATCAATTCATGGAATTATAGACCCTTTAACTCTTAACACAATTCAGAATCACCATTATCAAACAATCCGAAATGTGAGATATTAAATAACAAGGATAAATGGATTGATTGCTTATTTTCCTTGATTCTTCTGTGTTTAGAAAAATAACAAGTATCACACCATGATACCAACATTATGACAAGTGATACAAGGAATATGATAAAAACAACTTTTGTATTAGATGGAAAGGGTTGTAGCCAAATCTGAAATTCCTTATACTCATCATGAGTCTAGGTAGTAGGTGATGGAGAATCCTTGATGCTAACCAAATAATCAGATTTAGAATCTAAGTCTTTCGGGAGATTTCTGCGATGCATTAGCAGCAGCAGAAGCAGATTTCGAATTACATAACCATAGGAAAAACCTTATTCAAAACAGGTTATGGATCCATTTGAGAGTGTACCATAGCAGAACTATGACCCAAACCAGTAACAAAGCATGAAGCACAATCATCTTCCTTATAAGCAACGTAGACGATACATTAAGCAATTTAAGAACTCACCGAGTTCAAAATCCATGAATGCACAAGATTATTGCAAGGAATGAAAGCGTTATAGGTCGGATAAATTTGGAAGATAAAATTCAAGGACTATATTCAAAAGTAGCACATATCCTATGTACTTATTTACTGAGTTTGGACTTGTATAACAATAAGACTCATTTTCTTCCCATTACAAAATTGTATGGTGTGGTTTACTTTGCAAACTATATTACTCCAACAATAATGGCTTATAATAATATAGAGATATCAACTTATGAGAGACCTAACTTATCTTTGAAGGGAATAAGGTATTTTCCGATCCTTCCAAAATCGAAACCTCAATATCTTTAGGACTAATTTGTGAATCATTATTTGATGTATTATCCAAATTCTGAGTGTTCAGTTGGCCAATATTTGTCTTCTGCTGTTGGTCAAACATCATCTTCAACTGTTTTCCTTGTTCCTCAATTCGTAACTGTAATTTTCTCTGAATCTAGAAACATAAAGTATAGTAAGAGAAAAATTGAAGTTAGAGAATAGAATGAATAAAATACAGAAATGAAGGATATACCTCGAGTTGTTCGTGAAGACGCCTTTGAACATCGAGTTGAAGCTGAAGCGCCTCTCTTATTTGCAAGCCACTGCAAATTTAGAACATACATATAGTTGAATATATGGTAAAATCATTAAACATAAGAATGGTTTAAGAAAAAGAAGTAAGTAGCATTACGATTTGACATCGAGATGCACATTCTCTACATGAGTTCTTTTCTCACATTTCCCTGCAAAATGATAACAGTTTGTTTCAAGTTTAGATCAACAATTTATAAGATGTATGGTATGTTACGTCAGAGCCCGTCTTTGAGGATGTGCAAGACATACTATCATACATGGCATAAAATTTAGGTAGATAGAGTCTAATAAAATCTTTGTCATTGGTAAAACATGATTAAATCAGGCCTATACTTATTTTGTCATAATTGAAAAGTGACTAATCTACGCATGATCTCAAAAACTTAAGATGGCTTTGGAGAAACAAGATTATAACTATCCTAACAAAATTACCTTGGGCTGGTTCTGGCATGTATTTCGCAATTCTATATTTCTGCAGATGACTTTTAACATGGAAGATTGTCAATCCATCTGATTCCATCAGCCTTAATATGGCTTTTGGCGTCGCCTCTACAGTCGATCCGCCAAGAACATAATCAGATACTAACTAGAGATAAAGTGGCGAAAATAGAAACATAAAACATGATAAGTAAATGGACCGAGAGTTACTTACTCTCGGCACCTCCAAGACGATTCACACACTCAACAAACTTCTCATGAAGATCTTGAGTCCATCTTATTCTTGTCTTACTCGAGACTGGTGAACCACAAGGGTTTCCAGAAGTTGTTGACACATTTCCTGTTGACATTGTTCGAGAAACTTTCTCTTGCTGATAAGAGAAATTCAACTGAGAAACAACAGGAAAATCATATGAACCACATGAAACCTACAACACAAGAAAGATTCAACAAGTTTAAACCAACCAATCAATGAAAATGGAAAAAAATAAAATAAAAAGTACTTACTTTATGATCTTGATTTCCATTAGAATGAATCAATGGAGCCGCATCATCAATGAAGAACTTATGTTGAAAATTTCCATTGGATTTCTGAGGAGATCTACAACATTGATCATCACTATTCAACTGAGATGATCTAACCAATGGTTGCAAAGTGTTAAAATTTGACAAATCAAAGTTATTGCTAGTTTGGTTTGTTGAAGAATCATGGAAAATATTTTCCCTTGGACATTGATACAAAGGATACTCCAAATCATAACATGGAAATCCCATGCAAATCTCTGTTGCATAAAAAGCTGAATTTGGTGACTCAAAACGGCTTATAATTGTGCTAGATGATGATTGTTCCATTGAAAATGGTTGACTAAAATTTCCAATATTTGAAGCATTTCTCATATCAAAATAGTGACTCGAACAATCACCATTTAGTATATGGTTTTGTTGAATCCTTCCTAAATAATCAATCTTATTCTCATTCATCTAAAAATTCACTCAAAATTAGACCCTTCAAATTTTTGTTGTTGTATCATAAGAAACTAACTCTATGAAAGGTTCACCCTTATTAAGAAACACAAAAAAACAAGAGCCATAAATTGGAAAGATAAGAATTATTCTAAGGCTATAATGGTATGAAATTCTCTTCTTATATTCTTTGAGGCTTCAAGAATAAGATTTGAATCTAATTTGTCTAAATGCTACCATGCAATTAGCTCATAGTTATTCCTCAAAAGGGATAGGAATTGAATAGTAATCAAATTGACATGATCGATGTATAGAACAATGAAAACAACAAAACCTTGCTAATAAAACAAAATTGTTTTTTTGTCTATTGTTGTTTTCTTATGATTTTAAATCAAAATCAAAAGAATAAGAGGAAAGAAGAAATATGAAGCAACCTATAGCTTGAATGAGTCACAAGTATAGCCCTGCAAAAAAATTTATTCTAGCCAACCTTTATTTCTAATTAGTGGTTGAGTTAACCACTTATATTTGAATTTCAACAATCTCTCATTCAAGTGTCATTTACTCATACCACTAAATCTAATCCACGCTTGAATCTCACTCTTTTTTTATCGAGTCTAATCATAGTTATGACACCAATTGTTAAAGAATCCGTATAGCGTGGAAAAAGAAAATTGGTTACACGTTCTCATTCTCTACATAAAACTAATATTTGTATCTGTGTGATACACGGAAAGTAAATTATGATAATGACGACTTAATATAAAATAAAAATATAGTATATAATAAGTAATCAATTGAGTAAATTAACATTTACATGAGTCATAATCATATTGTACTGCATGAAGAATGAATAAAAAAAAAAAATAACATTGTTGTTTCATAATCATAAAAGAACATTAAAAAAAATATTCATAACAAATAGTAACATTTATATGTAAAACTGAGCTATCTCAAATTTCGAAAGATTTCTTTGTAAACTACATTGCAATTCTTGTTGGAGACATGACCTTCATCATCACATATAAGCAACTTCAACCCAACACGTGAAGTTACATGTGAAACAACAATATATAATTGACCATGTGAAAATACATGTTTTGGAAGATATATACCCATATTTTGAAGAGATTGACATTGACTTTTATTGATAGTCATAGCAAATGAGACAACAATAAAAAACTGTTTACGTTGAAATGTGAAGGGAATTCTTGGGTCAGATGGAGTCAAAGACAATCTCGGGATATAAACCTTTTGTGCAATACTACTTTGTGATATGAATTTTGCCTCTAGTACATAAGTTCTCATCTGTGTAATTATAAGTCGAGTACCGTTTACATAAACCTGATTGTTGATCAATATTTCTCAACAACATTACTGAAACACTAATTTTTAGTTTTGACTCATGTGTTGGTAAACCTGAAGAATTAATAGTGTTAAGAAATTCAAGAATATGAATATCATCAAGACTATTATTATTTTCACCAAGAGAACATGGAATATTAGCACTTAAATATTTTTTCATCACCTTGAATCAAAAACATAATGTAGTTGTTCAATGTATCAAGAATATCATTTGTAGGTGATAAGATTGTCCTATTTTGGAAAAAAGAAGGATCGGTCATTATTATCCAAGAGTGATGGATATGTTGTATCAACAATTAAAGTAATAAGGTTGTCTGTATTCTTAATTAGAAAGTCATCTGATATTGTAATTCATTTTCTCCATCATTATTTTCTCTAATATTTCCATCCCCAACTTTTAAAATCCAACTTGAGAACTCTTTTACGTTATTAAGATTTGAACACAAAGTTGTAGATTAGAGCCTCGTGTTTTTTTTTATTAATGTTAAGACTCGAAAAAATTGTCAAAGATATGAAGAGTTAATGCTAGCATGTACAATATCTTGTCTCGTTCCTTTTGGAATGACATGAAGAATTTGCCTGAAATCACCGTCCAAGACAACAATTTTTCCTCCAAAGGGAAGATTCATAAAATAGTAAGGAATTAGTTATATAAATCAACTCATTTATATATACAAAGTTTCTTCAATTTTTATTTATATAAAAATTAACCACTCACACTTGAATTCCAACATATTTTTTCTCCTACTTGAATTCCAATATGTTTTGTGTGTGTTAATCGAATATCTTTCTGCAGAACTGCAGAAACTAATCTTTTGATTAAACACTACTGCATATCTATGACTAAATTCAAATTCAACATATTTGATTAAGTTGAAAGAGACTCGTGTCAAACTCATATGTACTAATTTTTTGACGCTCTCAACCAATCATAATCGTCAAATAATTAAAATTATTTTACTTAAATAATAACTAATTTAAAGAAGTAGAAGTCAAACAAGCAACAAGATGCGTAGCACCACTATCTTCAGTTTATACATTCATCATTCTTTTCAAAAAAATTCTCAAATAATCATATTCTCAATTTTTTAATCAAAGTAACCACTTTTCAAACAAAAAAAAACCACAACATAAAGGTCAAGCCTCTATGTATGGCACATGCATGTACAATAGAGAGGAGGTGCCACACTGCATGACTTGTCCTCCTATGTAGTGCCATGCAATGTGGCACATGCATGCAAATTTAAGGAGGAGGCGTTGTTGTATCTGGTTTTAAATTTGAGAGTCGTCACCCTTAATTTTTATCCTAAGGAATGGAATATAAAGGATAACCCTAAAAGTTAGAGATTATAGGTTTTTGAACTTGGTTCTAGACGAAGGGATGGTGTTAGGAACCCCTCATCTACCTTGTTCACAAGGATAATAGGGTTAGAAGCGCAATTTTTAGGAAATAGGGTTTTAATGCTTTTTTAGGGAAACTCGCCACGATTTTACTCGTATGCCTACGTATCCTCTTAGGAGGAATCAAAGTCACAATTCGTAGTTCGCAGTGGGTTGGTGTTTTTTATGGATTACGAAGATATTTGAATTTCTCGTATACTTAGTCTAGGTGTGTGAATAGCGAAGATATTTAGACAAAGCGCGCAGTTAATTAAAATATACTCGTAATCCTTTTTGAAAATTAATTGTTAGATTAATTTGATTTATGAAAAATAATTTTATTGTTGGTTGAATATTTTTTAATGTATTTAATTGTAAAAAAAACAGTCTTTATTTAAATGCATGATCAAAGAATAATTTAATGCAATAAAAATAAATGATATTTATGGATGAATTTAAAAAATAAAAAATGTGATTTAATAATAATAATAATAATAATAATAATAAATATAATATTATAATTATAAAAAAGAAAATAGAAATAATAAAAATAAAGAAGAAAATTAAATAAAAGTAAGGGGGTGTGAATATATTTAAGGTAGTAAAGAGGGGAGGTCTTAATAGCATGGGCCTAAATTCATATGTTGAATTCAGGCCCAAAAGGCATGGGTACGCGTTAGAACTGAGCAACAAAACTTGGGGTGTAGGGAGTTAGGGTCCAAGTCAAGATTTTGGACTGGGCCCATTAAGGCTAGGGGGTATGCAGATGAACATGTTTAGCAAAATAAAAGAAACGGGGGTACGGGTAACGATTGCGCCAGGCCCAAGGGAATTGTTATAGAGGAGTCCGTTTGGGCAGCATGTGGGCACGCGCAGGGAATTGTCATGGACAAACGCATTCTAGGACGTGTGATTGAAAACGTGCGATGATGGTTAAAGGGAACATAGTAATAACTGGGAGATGACAAATGTGTGATGATGGGACATAATATATTTTTATTTTTATCGAACATTCTTTCCATTTTCAGTTATCCTTCTCTCTCTTCATGTCTCTCATCTTTCCTTCTTTCTCTGAAAACCCTAATCATCGGCGGCGTTAAACCAAACCCAACCGACTTCCGGCGATAATAAAGCAAGTAGAAAACACACTAATCCACAAACCCCAATCCCTAAACCAACACAACACCAAATTTAACACTTTAAGCTAAGAATAATTGTTACCTCTCTGTGGTTCTTTAGCTTCTCTGAGTTTGTTTCAATTCGTCTTTAATCCCTTTCCTCTTCGTGTTTGCAGGTATGATGGTGATGTAGCAGTGTAATGAGGAGAGAGAGAGAGAGAGAGAGAGAGAGAGAGAGAGAGAGAGAGAGAGAGAGAGAGAGAGAGAGAGAGAGAGAGAGAGAGAGAGATCTAGGGCTTCAGATGTTGAAACCCTAGTTCACACGGAGCGGCAACATCAAAGATTTAGGTGATGGTGTTGAATTTATGCTCCTCTGCTTCAAGTTTCTTCCCTGTAAAATCCTCTCCTTTGTCAATTCGTCTGTCCCCATTTCTACTGTTAATTTAGGTTTTTTATAGATTTTTTAGGGATATTACAAATTAGGAAAAAGATTAAGATGTCTGTAAGATTGTATACGGTTTTAATTTCGTTTTTGTAATAGGTTTGATTTTGTCTGTAAATTTGATTTTGTTTTGATTAGTTTATGCTTTTAGTACAATTATGTTTGTACCAGGTTTTAATTCGTATTAATCTGTATTAATTTGTTTATGTTTGTGACACAATAATGTTATGGAAACTTAATGTGCAAAATTTGGCTTGGTCGAAGTGATAATCTGAACAGTGGCAGTATGTTTATTTTCGAACACACATTTTTTTCTCAATTATACCGGCCTTGTAATGTTTGATTGGGCCCTACGGTTTAGTGAAAGCCTCTTTGTTTTTCAACCTGACTTTATTAGTTCATATTTTATTTAATAAAACAAAAGGATTTTTTTAATTAAATTTACAAAAAAAAAAGATGATTTAATTATAAAAGTATTAGCATAATAAATAATAGTAAAAATAATAATGATGTTGATAATAATAATAACAATGTTTATAAACAAAACAAATCTCAAAAATAAGACAAAAACTAAACGAGCCTCAATATTGGACCTTAAACGAAAACAGACTGCTTTACACTCTTTCAACCTCATTCAAAACTTAAATGGGCCTTTATTGTTTCAATTTATTGAGCATCTTATGATAAGGATATACACCCCTCCTCACTTATTT